TACAAGTGTGAAAGATTTACATTGGGCCTCACCCTAAATACTCAATACCACTTCCTTGTTTGAAGGAAGACAGCAAACCAGCACTGTTTTGTTTTGTTTTTGTCAGAGTCCAGTACACTCCAGATTACAATAAATATTTCCCCTCACCAGGAACACTAACAAAAAACAAAATTATGAATCTTTTATTTGCCTTTATGTATATATATATTTAAATTCACCGTCATTAATTTACTTATTTTGAGTTCTTAAACATGGTCTGATATGAGGCACGTTATAATTACCAGTTAGTGAGTCCATTGTCTTACCCAAAATTAAGTGTGTCATCCAAACTAATGTTCCATCTTCCTTCTGGTTTAATAACCATTAGCGGTTTCGGCATCACGTTAGCACTCCTTAAACATCTAAAGTTTTTTGGAAGAGATCGTTTTATACACTCACCACAACTTCGTTAGATACACTTTGCAAGTATTAGATTGTGATAGTATGACCTTTGTTCCACACCTTAAATATAAGGAAGTAAAACCAACCATAACCAACAGCAGACAGCAGAAGATTCCAGAATACTTTGCCCTGTTTTTAAAAACATGTTAATGCAAATAACATATTCCTCAACCTATATATTTAAAAAGGTTTTTTTTTCATTCAGGTGTAAACAATGACAATAATAAAAAGGTCTCAGGCACCAACACTCGTACCTCGTAGTTAGGAAAAATTCCCCTCTCATTTTCCTGATAAACAATTTGTTGAACAAGAAGTAGTTGGTAGACAGAATAAAACCTTAAAAAAAAGAGACACCTTAATTCAATAGAGAGCCTCCATTTGGTCAAAATAAGAGATTTTGCTAGAGCAACAAATTATAACCCAAATTCCCCAAAAGTTGGAGTTAAAAGTTGGGTTAAATCATTTGCCAGTCTATAAAGCCCACAATTTTTTGCAGTCTATCACTGACACATAATACATGTTGGAATAGGAAAAAAGATTCCTAAAATTTGGGAACACAGACCTAAAAACAGATGTGAATACATTGCAATTTATAAAGCAGTTT